AGGAGTGTTTTGTTTGTCAATCCTTTGTTATGGAACTTTGTTAATTTTATGTTTTACATATGTGTTAGGATTGCATCATATTTTTTAAAAAGATATGCCTTTTTATAATTTGATTATTACCTTGAAATCAAGAGATATTTTTATAAAAATTGCACTTGACATTTTATTTTCATCCCTTGAATGGATAAATATAATGGAAAAAAATAGTTGAACCCTAAGGCACATCACCCAAATGCTAGGAAGAAACCCTGCCTTTTTAAAGAAAAAAATCATCACAAAACACTAACCTTCACAACTTTAAATGATCCCATAAATCTGTTCAAATTGTTATGACCAAGTAGGGTTTATGAAAACTCTTTGCTAAAAAACTCTTGAAAGATTGGACTTACCTTTTAATTTTGGAAATGATTTAAGAATGTTTTTGATATTATGTTCAAAGCATGATAAACAAATTGATTAAATAATTCCCATTATATGGTGGCTAACAACCTAAACCAAAAAACATAAAAGATTAAACAACTTTTAATTCCACACACGATATTTCTTGAATAGTGTTTTAATTGTATGCATAATGGTATATAACAGATTCACTAGTCATGGACTTATAAATGCAATTCTTTTCAAATCCAATAAATATTAGACAAGTTAAAATTTATTGGTCTTAAACACTTGTATTTGAAGTGAGAAAATATCATTTCTATTATTCTTTTCACATTCAAAAATTAAAATATATCCTTTATAGTCCCTTTTGAGCTTGGGAGAAAATTTCTTTACGTAAATCTTGACTAAAATCACACCCCACACCAAGGGGTAAGTGAAAGTTTAAATAGATTGGAAGGATGTCATAACACCATAAAAAAAAAAAAAACCTAGGAAACTCAATTATTGAGGGAGCAAGCCCCAATTAAAAATAAAAAATGACAAAGTCAAAGTCAAAAGCAAATGAAGGTACCTTACCAAGAAAATGAAAAAATACAAACTAGAAAAATTAGATAAAATAAAAGAAGATTGAAAAACATATTAAGTTAAGCAAATGAAAGTGATTCGAAGTCTTTAGAACCTCAAAACACTTTTTGAGCTTATAAATCTCTTTTTTCATAATCAATATCTCAACCTACATTAGGTGTTTTTAAAAGTTCTTTTTAATCAAGTTAGCAAATAACCTAAACTAATAAATGGTGCTCCTAAAATGTGAAAAACATTTTCATTAAGTTGTGTCATCATGAAAAAGTTACTAATTATTAATCATACTATTAAAATAAATGCTCAATAAAAGATAAATTTTTCTTGATAAATATCAAGCATTTTCTCAAACCGCTTACTTTGAAACCTAAAATAAAAGGTTACTTTATTTTGTACCTTCACTCATTGCTAATCTTGTATGCACGGGAAACTAAACCACTAGTTTTCCTCCAACATTACTTAGGGTATTATGAGAAATTTGAAATAATATTATATTTCAAGAAATTCATTTGAGTCATGACTAACTCATTTTTTTCTCAGCCTATACCTTGTCCATTATTAATAAATTGTCTAATTGTATTTTAGTATTGAATGGCATGTTTTCATGTCTTAACCATAAAAGTCTAATCTTCATGAAAACACTTTGAAATATCTCTATGGTTTCATTCTAACAATTAGATTGGAATTGATACAATCTTTGAAATTTATGGTTAGATTCCAACAAAAAGAGTTGTTGATTGATTCTATAAAATTCTAGATAAAAGAAATGTTGATGCATCTTGTGATTGGTCAATGGAAAGTTGGACATTAAGGTTAATTTGAAAGCAGTCTTGCGAACCTTTTAATGGTTAATGGAAAATAACCACATCAGTCTAGTTTAAATAAGTTTTTATAATGAATATTCAAATGATGATTCTCTAAATATTATTGAAGCCAAGAATAGTATTTAAAAATATTGAGTGCTTTTCAGTGTAACTTGGAATACTCCTAAATTTAAATATCAAGTTTAAATTTAACTCTTTAATAAACCAAGAATTTTTTTTTTTTTAATTTCTATCAAAATTTTGAAAACATTTGCCTTTTTTTTAGATACTAACAATTCTTCAATATATATTTAATTATCATATTTAATCTTAATCCAACCATTCTAGATTGTATCACACTCTAGTTTTATATTTCACACTCGCACATTACAATCTTAATATATCTTAACATCAAGCAATTATCAATCATAATAAATACATAAGTTAAATATAATTCACTACTAAATATGCATATTAAACTTAACATCGAACATTTTAAACATTCATCATCATATTTTCCTTTTCTAAAACACACTACCCTAAAGTTATACATTAGTAACTATACTGTGTTAAGAGTACGTAATCCCTCACATTATACATAGTATCAAACACACAATTGATTACAAGAAATTCTCAAAAGATCTAAAATGAGTTATAAGATTACAACAAATTACAATACTTACAGGTACATCACGGATTATACATAGTATGTTAATGATATATATATATATATATATATATATATATATATATATATAGTAAATGTACTATATTTTAAGTGAGGTGATGAAGCCCTGCCTGCATGCTGCTCGCGACGCTCTAATTCCTCCTCCCACGTAATCTCCTAAATCAATAGCATTTCATCACGTTAATTATTTATCAAAAAGTCCATTGTGCATAATACGCGCGCGCGCGCATTCTCAATATTTTCATTGTCTTTTTTCATGTTCATACATTTTAATTCATTATCATCGTAGCCACACATCAATAACACACGAGTTTCAACATCTAAACACCTTATTTCACCACCGAATTTCTTTCTTCTTAATTTGTTCCGCCATAACTCCCATCGGAACCCAAGACTTTTGCTTCAATTAAATGGTATTTCTTATGTTCTTTACTCCTCTCCTAGCCTATTACAATAATTAACAACCAATTCAAGTTTTCCCAAATTCCGAAGTTCCAAGAATTAAATAAAAAATAACTTAAATCATGTAATAACTTAGTTAAATGTGTTTAAAGCATCTTACAATGTAAGAATCCAAGCTTTCAATGTTTTCAAATAGAGGTGCCTTCACTTTTTTCCTTTTCCCACCTTTGCCGCCCCTCTCTCTTTATCTCTTCCTCTCCCTCTCACTTGATTTCTTTCTAATCCTGTGTTTAAGGTGTTTAATCCTACAAGTTGCAAGGTTTCCTTCCAATTTCTAGTTTTTGTATGATTTTCTAACGCTATATCTTTTTATAATCTTCTTTCTTCTTCTCCATCTCTTTTTTTATTTTTTATTTTCATATGGAAGGCCATTAGGCTATTAAAAACATACAAATTTGTTAGTTACCATTACATCCATCATTTAGACCTTTCCAATCCCCGAGTAAATCCCCCCCCATTTCCGATGCCTGTTCATTCCCAAAACTAAGTTGGTGTGAATTTGAATTTCATTAAATTACCTTTCAATATATTTCTTTCCATATTTAATTCTTTCATCTGGTTGTAGTTTGTTTTTAGTCTTTTTTATTTTATTTTTTGGATATTTTATGTATCTTATTATTATTGTTTTTAATTTCACAAAATCTTTTCAGTCAAAACTTTCAAGTCTAACACCATCGTCGTAATCCTCGTAAGTTTAATATTCACTTTACTCAATTTACCTAATATCTTAGTTGTCTCAAGTGTAGATTTTATCCAGGGTTTACATTCTTCCCATCTTATAAAAAATTCATCCTTGAAATTTAAAGTCATACCTATGTTGGAAAATAATCACAGGTACTTTCTCCTCATTTCTGATTCTCTTTTTCAAATTTCTCTAACAATTTGAGAGCTCTGCTACAACACTTTTATTAGTGGGACTCTTTTATTTCTTAATCCCTTCGCGTTTTTGTCCACTATTTTCACTGACTTCACCTCAAAGGTCAAATCTTCATTGATTTCTGTTAGCATATGTGGTATGTATCATGCAGGATTGACGTTTTCTTTCCAAAGCAATGATACATGAAACGTATTATGTATCCTGGCTATATATTTACATGCAACATTAATCGATAAGAAACTGGCAGAGTCTTTTCAATAACCTCAAATGACTCGATATATGCAAGTGTTAATTTACCCTTCATTCGAAATAGGATCATGTTCTTTCAATGTGCAACATTTAAAAATACCTAACCCACTTAAAATTTCAAATCCCTTCTCCAATTATTCAATTATCAGCGTAACTTTTTCGCCGATCTTGGACTTTCTTCATCCTTTTCCTTATTACTTATGAGTCTAACAAGAAAGTTAATAAATTTCTAAGCTTAGCCAAACTCGAATGAATGTTAAACCTAGTTAGGTTTCAAAAAGAAATAATTCAACAGAACGTCGACAAATAAAAACCCTGTAAGATTCTAAACCTAACAAAGCTCAAGTTGATTTCAAACCCAATAAATTGTAGCAAAAAAAAAAGTACAACAAGACTCTAGTGAAAAAAAATTTAGTTGTCATACTTGACATTATAATGATTTTTTTTTAAAAAAAGGAAATGAACAATTTAGTTGTCATACTTGACATTATAATGATCTTTAAAAAAAAAGAAAATGAACAGGGGTTATAGTATCCTATTGAAAATATCTTGATTTTTAATGCGAAAATATCTTGTTTATGAAGTTATTATTTAATATTATGTTCACTGGAAACTCGAACTAGTTTTTAAAGATTTTATAGTAAGAAACTGGTTACACTATAAAAAATATACAATCACTCATAAAACAATAATTTTTTTATAATATTTAGGATACTGACATTAATAAATATTAAGATTGATATTTCTAACTTTAACTTAAGTGAATATTAAGGATAATATTTTTGACTTTAACATTAATAAATATGAGGGTTAATACTTATCATAAATTCACTTACCTAGAACACTTATGTATTGAGTTTTAAAATGATCATTAAACTTGCAAGAGTGACAAAAATAGGTTTTAGATACTTTTAAATAAATGAGTTTTTAGTATTTTTTATGTAAATCCGATAAATTATTTTTTTAATTTACTCACACGTACTTCCAATTACACACTTACAATTTACATAACAAGCAAACACATAAACAACAAATCAAAAAATAAAATCAGTCTAAACTCCCAGAATCCACCTCCGAAGACGGATTAAGCTGCCAGGATCAACAAAAAGGGCTGCTGGAACAGTTGTTGCATACTGTGGCGCGTGGATGACACGCACGGCCGTGGACGGGGACGGGCGAGGAAGAGCGCCAGCGACTTGGGTGACGAGTGACCCACTTGATCGTTCAGCCCTTCCTCCCTTCTATAGAATGGTGCTGGTGGTGTCACTAATAGTAACCTGAAAATAGAGAAACAATCACAAGAAATCTCGGGTTTTTCTTCTTTTATTTTCGTCTTCTTCCTCTCTCTGATGGTTGCTGTTACAGTGACCATAGGTGGCTTTCCTGTTGTGGTCCAGACTGAAGGGTGATGAAGAGTTATGCTTCGGGTTATTGGGTTTCGGCTGGTTGGTTTTCTGGTGTTGGCCGTATGAGAGGACGCAGACGGTTGGAGGCTGAAAAGGCAGGGGAGAATGGCTGATGCTGGTGGTGATGAGGGGCCTGTAGCTGGTGGCTTTTATGGTTTACTGTGCTCTTGGATATCTTATTTACCAACCTGGCAGCGACTTCGTCCAAAGACTCTTTTAGTCGATCCCCGACATTTCTGATCCCGTAAATGGAGAGAGGATCAGACGCCTCTGACGTGGAGGTAGAGATCTCTTTGTAAGTCTTGGCAAGGAGATAAACCAGGGCGGGACATTTCTTAGTTTGCAAATTTGAAAAATATCCCGGATCGAACACTCTAGAGTATCTAAAGTATGCTTTTTGGTTAGGAAGCTTTTCATGCCTTAAAACATCTTCTATGGCCAAAACAGCTTGACGTGTCAGAGGGCATTTCAGCTCAGACAATAAAGTGCTCATGTCACACATGGTCGATTTTTGGATATCCATGGTCAGCTGGTATGCTTTCATTCCCGTGTAAGAGAATACTCGACCAGCCAAGTAGTCTAGCATGCTTGAGCTGCGACGATCTATGTTTCCTTCGTTCTCATTATATGCCACACACATGACCCAGGTGTTTACTAGCGGTGGATCCCTCCCTAGCGCTTCTCTCAGGGAAGAGGCAAACCCAGCCGTTAACTCCAGGTTCACCAAGATGTCACCACCGTTAACTCCAGGTTCACCAAGATGTCACTACCATCATCATACCAACCTTGATATCTAGCTTTGAAGTTTTCTATGGACCTTAGAAAACTCTCTGGCGTCTTGATAGCTAATCTCAGAAGATGGGCAGCCAAATAGCAGTATGCACAGGCTGACATATCCCTTTTCCTGTTGTCTTCACCCTCATCACCAGGATGTTGCTTTCTTCTTATTCTTCTTCTTTTCTCTTTCCTTGCTCATGGCAAGCAACTCAGCTTCAGCTTCCGCAAGTTCATCATCTTGACTATTCTCAGTATCAATTTTTGCTTCCATGCTCTGAGTCCCATGACCATAAGGAGGTGGAGTCAAAAGGTGAGCGTCACCATCTCCGCCTGGGAGAGGAAGTGATATAGCTAAGAGGAGGATTTTGTAGAGGAGATCTGTAGACACCTTATCATTCCTAATTTGCAACAGCAAAGCTGACCCTACTATCATGGATTGAGCACAGTCTAATTGCTTCACATTATAGGTGTTGATTTTTGACAATTCCGAATCTGACCATGTTTTCGGTAACAAATTCCCAGATGCAATTACTACTCCGGATAACTCACCTTACCGTTTGTTTAATTCCATCTCAGCTTCAGCTGATTTAGCCACTGGTTGAGATGCTTGTGCCTGGGGCTTATTTATCTGAATCCCTTTACCTTTTGCTGCGGCAGCTTCCATAGCACTCTAGCCTTTTCTTGATGTAACATTTTTGCCCTGGCTTAAAGGATATCCCTGGCTGCTTTGTTTTCCATGCATGGAAGTGTGTCGGATGTTGGTGACGCTGCTGTGCTGGACTGCGTCAGGGCTGCTCACGGTGGCTGAGGGATGATGAGCAGGTGGTGCTCACGATGGCGGTGCAGATGAGAAACCACCGCTGCTGGATGTTGAAGAGTGTTACTATCAGTTGGTAAGCCCCCGGTGGCTGGAGTTGGTGGTGCTGACCGTGGGGGTAGTAGCTGTTGCTGGTTGAGGGGGCTACGGCGGAGATGGGTAAAGGAGCAGCTGCTGTTTTGGAAACGAAGGTGGTTGCTGTTGGGTTTGTTTGTGTTAAAGGATCGATGATGGAGAAACATTGGAGAGGAGGCTGAAAGGGTGTTGGTTGCCGCTGGGCAGAGCTGGAGCCGAGAGAAGGATTGCCGTGGTGGTTGCTGCTGGTTCAGTGGTGGAGGAGAAACGGGTGAGGGCTGGTTAGTTGGAGAGGGAAGGCATGGGTGAGATTGCGTCTTTAGTTTTTATACTATGCTCCTTTTTAATTCATCTCCATGCGAAAAACTACAGCATGGGAACCAAAAGGAACGTGAGGGAGAAGGTCGAAAGTTTTGTTCCTGGGTATTGTGGCTAGTCCAGTAAAATTACAATGAAGTCTTGAGCTCCCCCCATCGTTTTCTCGAGCTCCCCCTCTATGCTATCCTGTGAATCATAACCATGTTGAGTGGCCAACAATGTTGTCTGTCAATTTTTGTCCCCCCGGCAACAATGATCAGACAATATCCAGTTCACTTTTTTTTTTATTATTATTTTACCTTTTATTTTAAAAAACGTTTATAAAAGCGAACGTTAAAGTGTAGAAAATTACAAAATGGTTGCTATTCGTCGCACTCAAAAGATTTTTGAAATGATTAAATTGTTTTAGAAACTGTTTGTCGGCGAAAAATATATATTTTTTTAAATAATTAAATTATTTTAAATGATCTAATTGTTAATGAGTTGATCTAATTTTTATGAACGATTTCCCCGAGTTAAAAATATAATAATTTTTAAAGGTGGTCTAATTTTTATGTGCAGTATATATAAATAAAAAAATATAATTTTTTTAAAAATTATTTAACTTTTATAGACAACTTATTCTAATAATGAGCAAATAATATTTAGTTCATTTTTTTTTACCTTTTATTCTAGGAAAAGATTATAAAAGCAAAAGCTAAAGTGTAGAAAATTACAAAATGGTTGCTATTGGTTGCCTTGAAAATATATATTTTTTGAGAATTTTTTAATTTTAAATTTTTTGTATTTTTGAAAATATTTAGAAAATAGGAGTAAAAATTTGAGTATAATAGTTGCTTCACTTGTTATAATGCTTATAATACAGAAATTATAAAAGCAATTGTTTGTTGGTGAAAATTACAAATATCTTTTTAAATAGTCAAATTATGCCAAATGACCTAATTGTTGATGAAATATAAAAAAAAAATAAGTTAATTTAATTCTCATGAATGACTTATCCATGTGAAAAATATAATAATTTTTAAGATTGATCTAATTTATATTGGCAATCTGTCTATATTAAAAAAATAAAAATAAAATTCAAAATGATTTAGTTTTTATGGACAACGTGTCTATATTAAAAAAATAAAAATAAAATTTAAAATGATTTAGTTTTTATGGACAACATACCCAACTATAAAAAATACATAGCTTTTTCAAAATGATCAAACTCTCATAAGTAACTCATTCAACTGTGAAAAAAGTGGTGATCTTTTAGGAAAAAAGATGGAAAATAATAGGGTTTCTGGCATCCAATTTTTTTAGAAAAAATATTTTATTTATCAAGTTATTATCCAGTATTATGATTATTAGAAATCCTAACTATTCGTTAAAGATTTTATGTCAATGGAATGATTATGCTAAAGGAAATATATTATCACTCTTAAAACATCCTATTTTAGGGAGGCTATATTTTTTATTTTGTTTTAAATAACTAATGATTTATTAATGGTTTGTTTATAACATTTATGATTCCAACATCAATAAATACTGTGGTTAATATTTCTGATTTTGAATTCAGTAAATATATCTTACTTTAAATTTAAATCAAACATCATTCAATTTTTTATAGCTTAGATTTAGAAATTCATTGTTGTATTTAAGAAAATTTAAAGAGATTTTTAACACTTATAATGACTTAAATTATAACAAGAATACCATCAATTTTATTTTTTTTAAGATAAAGTTAAAATATGACTATGAAATCTTAAGTCAGGATTCATTCGTGCTTTGGATGAAATGTAATAACAATTTTAAAAAAAGTTTTTTCTTTTTATGTAATAACAATTTTTAAAGAAGTTTTTTCTTTTCTTTGAACAAACTCTTTTAAAAAATAAATCACTATATTTACTAAAAAATCAAAAGAAATATTTTACTAATGTTATAACAGGTATAAAAATAAATATTTGTTGATGTTAGAATCATAAATATTACAAATAAATTATTAATAACATAGCACAATAATTCATAATAATTTAAGATAAAACTAGTAATATAATCTATTTAAAATATAATATTTTAAAGGTGATGTTATATTTTTCTTAGTATATTTAGTCTGTTATTATAAAATCTATGAAGATAAATTAAAATTTTTAGTAATTATAATATTAAATAAAATATTTTTTTAAAAAAATACCATAAATTATATTCTTTATCTTTTTTAGATCCCGCAAAGTCGGACTTTCTAAAACACGGACTGCAGCTCAAAATTCATTTTCCATGAAGTGGCAAAAGTACTAACCCCTCCAATTAGATTCTTCATCTCAACTTCTCAAACTAGAATCCAAAGCACACGGTGCTGGATCTGGTGGTATCTATAGGAAGTTTTGAGGATTAATCTTTAAAGTTTTTTAATACTACTCATTTTAATTATTTACTTGAGTCTTCACATGAACTGATCTTGTGAATCCATGCGAAGAAACCATTTTGTTTAAATAGGCCAACGCATGTGAATCGAGGGGGGAAATCAAAGATTTTTTTTTTTTTCAATATTCCTAGAAGGAGCTAAATGAAACCAAAGTCTCCTTTTGGTTTTGAATTACAGGCGTTAAAGATAGCGTTAACCCATAGCTGGTTGATAAACTCATACACCCTCTATTCCTGCTAGTTTTTTAATTTAATGTGACCCTCCATCAATTAATTTTTTTAATATGACCCTTTTGCTTATATTCCATTACTTAAAAAGGTTCTCCTGTCCAGATTCGAGATCTCAGTTTCTCTTTCCCGGTCCAGGAAATCAAAATTTCATAGATAGGAAAAAAATTTAAGATTATGAGAATTTTTATTTTTATTTTTTAAGGGTCCGATTGCACTTTATATTTAGAAAACAATGCCATTGAGCAAATTTGAAAAGGTCAGGCGTTCATAAACCTCCGTCCCCTGACTCCGCGGAACAAGCTCCAATCCGTGGATCGTTTTCCGGACCAGGCCAGTAATGCTAGTCTCACATCCAGTGTTATTAAACCCGGACCGGCCCGGCGGGTCAACTTGGGACCCAGCCGACCTGGTGCCTAGACCGGTTTGAGTTTAATAAAAGCAGTGTTATTAAACTCGGCCCGGCCCGACGGGTCGACCCAGGACCCGGCCGACCCGATACCTAGACCGGTTCGGGTTTAATAAAAGACCGGCTATGGCAACAGCCCGGTCAAACCCGGGTGACCCGGCAGGGCAACCCATGACCCGGGCAAACCCGGACGCGACCTGGTTTTTTTTTTTTCAAATGTGATATTTAAAACTCATTAGCATATATACTCAATGTTCTAAAAAAAAGTAATATTTTTTCAATGTGGGATTTGAAACCCTTTCATATATATACTCCATGTTCTCAAGAAAAAAATCATTTTTTTTCAATGTGGAATAAAAAATCTTTTAATTTAAATACTTCAACTTAAAAAAATAACATAATATATTTTCAATGTAGGATTTGAAACTCTTTTGTATATATACTCTATGCTCCCATGAAAAAAATCATGTTTTGTCAATGTGGATTTGAAACTTATTAGTATAAATACTATATGTTCCCAAGAAAAAAGTTATGCTTTTTCAATGTGGGATAAAAAACTTTTTAAAATATTCTTTTAAATTTGATTGTTAACAATATGTATAATTTATATTTATATAGATTTTTTCATATGAAATATTAATTTTATTTTTTATTTTTTCCGGGTTGACCCATGAAACCCGGGACCCGGCCCCTTGACCGGGTCAACCCCCGGGCCGGGTTTAATAACTATGTTCACGTCTAGAGATGGTGACGAGTGTCCACCAATCAAGTTTTTATTATATTTATATTTTATCAATTGTTTATTGAATAAGAATTCAGATATTCATTTTTTCTTCATTAAATTTGAAATATCCATTCCCTTGGTGCTATTTATAATTCAACTTAAAATTAAAAAACTATATAATAATAATAATAATAAAATAATAATAATAATAATAATAAAATTATAAGATTATAAATGTGATGTAAACATGATGTAAACTCTTTAGGTGGATTATTATTCTCATCCACACCTTTCTGTATTTTTTTAAAAAAGACAAATATTAAAAAAAGCTATCAAAACCTGGATATTGTAATTAAACTGAAAGGAAATTAAAAGAGATACATACTCGCTATTTAGTTTATGTGTCTTCTTTCATGGCGCCACTATGGATTGCATTATTCCTCTACAATGCAATTTTTGTTGTTCCTATAAGAAAAGTATAATGTGATCCTGATACTTTTATATTTAACATTTCTGATCCTTGTAGTTTTTTATGTTAAAATTTCACCCATGAAAATTTTATTTTCTTTATGTTTTAATCACTATAAGTTATGAGTTGAGAGAATCGTTAATTGTTTTATTTTTATATTTTATAATGATTTTTAAAAATAAAATTATTAAAATAATATTATAACCAATTACATTTATAACTTATAAATAAAACGAGAGTTGTTTATAATAATAATAATAATAATTTATTTATGAATATTGAACCCAACATAAAAAAAACTGTTTATGAGAATTTATTTAAAATAAAATATTCATTTTATTATTTTTATATAATTTTGTCAGATTTTTTATTTTTTATGGTTTTTTATAAAGTCACATTAAATTTTTTTATATATATGTATGTATGTATGTATATATTAAATCTGCTTTATAGTCCATGGTATTATTTTATTTAAAAAAACATGTTTACAATAAAAAACAAATTCTATAAAAAAACACAAATAGAATTCTCAATTTAAATTATTAAAATTCTTATGAACATCTATTCTAATTGGCGTTTATAAATATTTATGTTAATTATCATATAATTTAATAAAAATAAAATAAAAAAAGCCCCGCAATAGCAACGCGTGCAAACTGGCGTTTTTATTTTTTTAGGCAATAACTCTCTATTTCTGCCGAATACCCCGTGAAGTTTATTTCTTGGGACGCCCTTTTATTTTATCTATCGCATCAAGCCCCCTCCTCTCCTTTTCTTAATCGCATTCTCTCTTTCCAATCCCTAATCAACGCGCAACTGCAAAGTTTCTACATTGCAGGTACGCACCCGATTTTTTTATTGGTATTATTATTAGTTTCTCAATTTTTATTTTTTTTTTTTGCTGTTCGACACTTGAAAACGAGAGTGAAAGGATTTGAGTTTTGAT